GAGAGAGAGAGTGTGTGTGTGTGTGTGTGTGTGTGTGTGAACGCCCCTCTGGTCACTCCCTTACTTCCTGTCCAGCAGGATGTGCGTCCATATGTTTGATCACAACATCATTCCTAGATTTCCATTTGTGTCGTCAGAGTTTTCCTCACTTGGCTGCTATTGTTGCACTGTTACTGGAAAACAGTCCGAGTGAAGCAGAACAGTCCAGTGTTTTGTCGTTGTGTCCCAAATGACGCACTATACACTGCACTGTGAGCTTTATAAGCTTAATTTGTCACCTGATTGTAATTATTAATAACTTTAAAAGTTGCTTCCTCAAAGTGCTTTACAGCAAAAGCAGAAGAACAAAGCAAAAACAAACCAAACGAAACCAGTAATCATGTCAAAGCTAACCTGAAATCTAATGTTTTTGTGCACTTTTTCTTTTGGCGTTTTCACTACTCTCAGTATTTATTCCAAACACGTCATAGAATAGTGTGTAAATACGTGAATTGGGACGCACCTCATGTAGACGTGCTCTGAAGGACATGTTTTACCGTTGCGCTTGCGTCACGCATGAGCTCTGCATGTTAAAAACACGGCGCTCAAGTTAAAAGAAGTTCAACTTGCATCTCAAGACCTTGTGTTTTTACCATTCCTTCCCTGCGTTCCCTGTGTGAACGGCCCTAATAATACTAGACCTCAGTGTCACAGAACGCTTGTTTTCTGGCAGGACATTTATTTATCAGCAAATTCATTCATGCAAAAATAATGTCTTTTATTGACCATGGTGAGTGTAAGTTCACAAAGACACTTTATCTAAAGCCCTTATATATAATGCATTATAAAGTAGTTTTAATGCATTAATTATGCAGCTTATAATGCATTGTGAATAACTGTAACAACAGTTATAATACTTTATCTAGTCATTGTTACACCTTTAGAAAGTATAATGCACTAAAACACATGACAAAATGTTATAATGCAAGGTTACATTTACTTATGAAAAGATACAATGAATTATAATGTACATTATGAAACCTTTATAATTCATTATACACAAGTGTTACTGAGTTTATGATGCATGCTTGCGTCTGGCTTTCACAGTGTTCTTCATGTCTCAGTGCAGCTTCACCTACAGAGCGTGATCGATCGCTAGAGTCGGGTCCTGGTCAGTGATCGGTCAGGATGGCGTTCACGGCGGCGGCGAGGTCGTCCACGTAAGCATCGGCTCTCACGCTCGGGTGCTGCTCGTCGCTCGGCCTGCGGGGGCACAAGACACCAGACAACATGAGCAGAGCTCCTGTGAGGTCAAAGGTCACCCAGAGTCTGACCAATCACAGGCTGAGAGGGCGGAGCTCTGTGGTGTCTCAGTTATTGATGATGTTCACTATTTAACACAAACTCTCATTTTTGTCTGAGAACATCCCGTGCTCCACACAGAGATCAGAGATCCACACAGTGCCACGATCATGAAGCGGCTCTAATCACTGGACTGCAGCGCCACCTGCTGCTCACACACCCATCGTGCATGAAATTAATTCAGATTGAATTTTATTGTGCCTTTCAATACACACTATTCCAAAACAGCTGTAACACACACACACACACACACTCATATACTCACACTCTCTCTCTCACACACACACACACACACACACACTCATATACACTCACTCTCACACACACACTCACACACACACACACACACACTCATATACACTCACTCTCTCACACACATTCACACACACACACACACACACACACTCATATACACTCACACTCTCTCTCTCACACACACTCATATACACTCACTCACTCACACACACACACACTTAAGCACACTCTCACTCACACACACACACACTCTCATATACACTCACACGCACACTCACACACACACTCACTCACTCACACACACTGACCTGTATTTGCCAGTTCTGACCTGAAGACCCTTCATCCCGCAGCGCTGAGCTCCACCGACATCATTGAGCAGATCATCACCGATCATCACAACCTGACACACACACACACACACACACACACACACACACACATGCAGTAAAGAACAACAACACTGTAAAACATGGTAAACAGAGCTTACTATAGCCTTACTGGCATCTGAACACAGCATCAAATCAACAGATACTCAAACTTTTGAGAGTGTGTGTGTGTGTGTGTGTGTGTGTGTGTGAGAGAATA